CAACCTGAGTGCCCATCAGTAGATGAGTGGATAAAATGGCTATAGTACATTCAAGGATAAGAGCAGACACATAGACCAATGGAATAGAACTGAGAGCTCAAGTCTCTATGGTCAATTAATATTTAACATAGGGGGCAGCAGCAGAAAATGGAGTAAAAATAGCTTCTTCAACAAAAGGTGTTGGGAGATCTGGACAGCAACATGCAAAAAAATAAAACTCGACCACCAACTCACACCATGCACAAAAATAAATTAAAGGTGGATAAAAGCCTTAAATATAAGTCATAACACTATAGAAGTACTAGAGGAAAACATTGGCAGGAAAATCTGACGTTGCACATAGTTAACATCTTCACTGACATGTCCCCTAAAACAAAGGACAGAAAGGAAAGAATAAACAAATGGGACCTCATCAAATTAAAAAGCTTCTGCATGGCTAAAGAAAACAGCATTAAAATAAAAAGAGAACCAACCAAATGGGAAAAAATATTTGCCAGTGATACCTCAAACAAGGGTTTGATCTCCAAAATATATGAGAACTCATAGGACTCAACTCTAAGAAGACAAGCAACCCAATTAAAAAATGGGCAAAAGACCTGAACAGATACTTCTCCAAGGACATACAGAGGGCCCAGAGACATATGAAAAGATGCTCAGCATCACTAGCCATCAGAGAGATGCAAATTAAAACTATAATCAGTTACCACTTCACACTGGTCAGAATGGCCATCATAAACAAATCAACAAACAAGTGTTGGAAAGGATGTGCAGAAAAGGGAACTCTAGTATACTGTTGGTGGGAATGCAGCCTGGTGCAGTTACTGTTACTGTGGAAACTGTATGGAATTTTCTAAGAAAACTAAAAACGGATCTGCCTTTTGATCCAGCAATTTCACTGCAGGGATTATACACTAAGAGCCCTGAAACATCAACAGAAAAGAACCTATGCACCCCAATGTTCATAGCAGCACAATTTATAAGAGCCAAGTGCTGGAAGCAACCTAAGTGCCCATCAGTAAATGAGTGGATCAAAAAAAACTGTGGTACATTTACACAATGGAATTCTATGCAGCAGAAAGAAAGAAAGAACTTATACCCTTTGCAACAGCATGGATGGAATTGGAGAGCATTATGCTAAGTGAAATAAGCCAGGAGGTGAGGGACAAATACTATGTGATCTCACCTTTAACAGGAACCTAATCAACAAAATGAACAAGCAAGCAAAATATAACCAAAGACACTGAAATTGAGAACAGGCTGACAGTGACCAGAGGGGAGAGGGGAGGGGATTTCAGGGGAAAAGGGTGAAGGGTTTGCAGGAACAATTATAAAGGACACATGTACAATAACAAGGGGTGGTGGAAACAGGGGAGAGAAGTGGAGTGGGGAGGGGAGGGGGGGAAAGGCAGAAAACTGTACTTGAACAACAATAAAAAATGTTAAAAAGAAATAAACTTTTCAAAATATCTTAAAAAATAAATAGCTATAGTACATTTAGACAATGGAATACTACATGGCTATAAAGAAGAAAATTTTACCCTTTGGGACAGCATGGATGGACCTGGAGAGCATTATAATAAGTAAAATAAGCCAGTCGGAGAAAGACAAGTACCATATGATTTCACTCATGTGTGGAATCTAATGAACAAAATGAACTAACAAGCAAAATAGGACAGACTTACAGATAGAGAACAGGGTGACCACTGTGGGGTGGTGCTGGGTAGGGAACTGTAGGGACTGAGCAAAAAGGAAAAAAAAAGAGAAAGAACTCATGGACACAGACAACCATGTGGGGGTTGGAGGAGGGTATGGGGGGATAAATGGTGATGGACGGAGACTTGCATTGGGGTGGTGAACAAATAATATGTTGTACAGATGATGTATTGTAGAATTGTACACCTAAAACTTGTATAATTTTGTTAACCAGTGTCACCCCAATACGTTTGATTAAGATAAAAACAAAATAAAAACCTAAAAAAAGTCACTAGATAGGCAATATGAATGCAAATTCTGTTAAAAAATAACTAAAAACTATTCTCCTGACTGCATGGCAGAGGGAGGAGGAGGAAAGAGGCTTGGTAAGCTGAGAGGCATAGTAAGCTGGGAGCCAGGCACAGGAGGAAGGTCCTGTCCCTCAGAGAACTTGACTGACAGACAGACCAGTAGGTAGGGATGTCTACAGAGAAGAGATTTATGAACAAATCAGCAATGGTCCCAGTTGCCAGGGATATGGATGGGCACTCCCAGCAACTCCAAGCATGACCCAGGAAACTGACTCTTGAAGTGGACTAATGATACTTCAATCTCTGTTTGATTTCCAGGTTGGGAGAGGAGGGTGGAAAAGATGAAAAACACCAAAAGCCAAGATGTACCTGATTCTGAAAAGAACAAAAAATAAAAATGAACTATGAGAGTAAAGTTTTAAACAAACTACAAATGTAGCCAGTTATACCCCAAAGTAGAAAAAGGCAGTTCTTTAAAACAAAGAAAGCCTCATCCTCAGACCTAAAGTCCTGAGATTCACAAAGGTGTGGATTTAATGAGTTTATCAATCTGCTTATGTGGAGTTACGACCTGAGGTTCATGAGAAAGAATCAGTGAAATGTCCATTTATGTTCTCATTAACTGAGCTTCTGTCTTTGTTGCCTCATCAAATCTTTTCAGTTACACCCCACCACACAGGACAGGTGATTAAAATGTCAGTGCTGATACAAATAACTAATGTGTGGCAGAAACAGATATATTTATATGCTGTCTAGAAAGATTAATAGTAGCTACTGCTGGCCTGCCAACTGAACATGTTCAAACATTCTGTCCTACATGTAAATCAAATGCAAAGCATATGGTATATTTTAAAGACTGCTGATGTCACAGTTATCTTAATACTCAGGACCTGGAGTAAACTATGCAGATGTTGACTAATGAGGCTATATATTCTTGGTCTTTCCATATTAGTTTAATGTTGTAAAATGTAATGGCACTAACAAAAAGGAGGTCTCAGAAATTAAGAAGAGAGAATGCAAACATTTGAAATCAAGAGATATGTTTTTATAATCAGTTGTTTGTTAGTTTGGGCATATTCGCTATAATATGATTCCAGTAATCACTGTCAGTTAGTAGATTGTGATGAGACTGTATTTTTGGTCCCCTTAAAAGTGAATCTAATAAAAAAAGGTCAACTGAACACATTGACAAAAGAAGGACAAATATATTAAGTAGGAGAACAGAGTGCCTTGTGACAGTCAAATATGCAGGAGCAGAATGAGAGATGCCCCGATGAACTAAAGACTGCTGAAAGTTTTCCAAGTTGCTAACTACAGAAATCAACAATTATGGGAAAATTAGTATTTTTCAGAGTGAAGTGAGGCAGAGTACTGGATTGCAAACTACAGACTGGAGGTGGACTTCTCAGTCATACCATGGGCTGGCACCTTCCTACCTATCAGGGACATGGTGAAAATGACAGATGTGTGACAGTATGAAAGTGCTTTGTAATTTGCCAATTTACGTGTAAATGCTGGGTATTATCATCATTATGCTTACACTCAAGTGGTCTAGACACAAGAGACTTCAAAGTTGTATGGATGGAAACATTTTTAAGAATCACACCTGCACAATGGCTTTTATACTGTTCAAGAAAGATTGAGCATTTCAATTCCCACAAACAGCTGCTCTGAATTTTGGGTTTCCTTCCAATGACACTAATCATTTTGATCACAGAATGCACGGTTTCACGAGAGCATGAGAACAGGCTGCTATGACAGAAATGAGTGACACTGTTGCAAAGGAACCAAGAGAAAATGAAAGCCTGGTTCCTCATCTCTTTTCAGAGGGTCAAAATATGCTATGCACAAAACAAATCATGTTGGCAAGGATTGAGGGGACAATCAATCTCAGGCACATGGTGTGAGGTGATCAATCAAGACTAGTCACACATACATATTTAGAAACAAGACACTTCAACATTGTGGAAAATATTTCTCAGTGTGAGGTCCTGGGAGTTCTGGTGGAACAAGGGTGGAGCATGAAGGCAGGGGAAAGGAGGAAGTCTGATATCTCAAAACAGCATATCCCACTTCTCTGAGATCCTTAACCACTTCATTAAATCACGGGTATGTCCAGATACGTTTTTAATAAAATTGATGGAGCTGTTGTTCCTGATAGGTATAGATAATCACATAATCATTCATTCATTCATTCATTCAAATACCTATTTATTCATGAATACCTAGCAGGGGCCAGATATTGTGTTAAATGCTGGGAATATAGCTACCTACATTCAGACATGGTCCCTGGCTTCATGTATCTTACATTCTAGTGAAAAAGAGAGCAGCAAAAAACACATATACAAATCAATGACTTGTGATAATCATGATAAAGGCTGTGAAGAAATGAGGTAATGAAGTAGAGATTACATGGAGGTGTTGGGGGGCTACTTTAGATAAGTGGTAAGTGAAGCCTTCTCTCAGGAGTTGACTTGAATGAGACTGAGCCAGCCAAGGGAAGAGTTGGGAATAGTGCATGCCAGGCAGAGGGGCCAGGAAGAGCAAAGGCTCTGAGACATAAGGGGCCTGGAGCTCAAAAGGCACTTCAGAAAAGAAGCCAGGTGACTAAAGCATAGTGAGCAGGGGAGAAAGGCATGGGAAGAGTGGCCAGGAGCCACATTTCACACGCATGCTGTGCAGGCCAGGTTCAGGAGAACTAAAGGATAAAAGTTTTTAAATCTTAATGGTCATTAAAAGACACAATCTGATTTATATTTAAGAGTATCACTCTAGCTGTGCATGTGTAACCTAATGTATAAACACAACCTTTATTCTAAAGATGCTAGCACTAGAAGAAATCAGAAAATATTTTGAATGCATTTCCAAACATTTAAATAAAAACAATCTTAGAAAAGTAGACATTTAAAAAGCTCTAAATAGTCAACTAAAAACCAGTTAAATTAGACAATGGGTTATGGGTTAAAAAAAATCAAAGAACAAAATAAACACACATACCTCCTCGTTGCACCAACAATGTGACTTCACTTCCCTTTGGACATTCAATCAGCATATCCACGACCTGGTTGTGAGTCAGAGCCTGCACATTCTTCTTATTCACTTCCACGATAAGATCCCCTTCTTTCAGACCTCGGCACCTTGGACTGTCAACAATCTGTTTCACTCTTTGACCACCCCCACCAGGACTGTCTGCGATAGTAAAACCAAAGCCCATTGGCCCTTTGACTATATGAACAGTTATAAGTTCCGGCTGAGTGGCTATGGAGGAAGCCAAAGAGACAGTGTCATTGGGGTAACCATGGGAACTGTTTGAGGCCACGTCTGCTGGGCTGCTTGGCCTGGCATCCTTCATGCCATTGACTTTGCCTGTTTTACTGCTATGACTGGCAGGCGAATCATAGTTCTCTTGCCCATTCACAATAATTGGTTCTTTATCCAAAATGGCCACCGAGGTCACTAAACTTGTATTGGGGTCATCTGGGTCAAAAGGCAATGGATAACCTCGGCAGAGTTCAAGGTCCACACTGGCACCAATGGGAATGGACTGGAAGATTTTCACAACTTGTGCATGTGTGTGTCCCAAAACACAAGTGTCGTTCACACTGACAATTACATCTCCTGCAAAAGTAAAAGTTTGGGGGTTAAAAAATACACAGAAAATTTATATCAATATAATAATATAAATGCCTACCAATAGGAAACTGAACTGAAGCTGGATTTGGGGGTGGTATAGTAGGACACAAAGAGATTACTTCTATTACTTATTTTAATGGCTAATAAGGCATTCTTTTAGGATCTAGTGTCTTCTCTGCCAGTGAGAATATAAGATCACTGAAAAAACATTGGAGCTTTCTTCTAAAACAAATTCTCACTGCAGAAATCCAAGTTCAGAATTCATTTACTCAAATAGATCTACAATTTTAGGAAATTGCTGCTTTACTCTACTCAATAGCACCTGAAGAGCTCCCCAAAGTTGAAATGGTTTCTAAGGTTTTCCTCTATACCAGGGAATGCATTTACGTAGTGTAGGAACTTTGCTCATGTAAAGTTTTTACAGGAGACTTATAAACTCATGAAATCATGCTGCTGTTTGGTCCTGTTTGAGTGCTGGGTAGAAGTCTCACCACACAAGGGATGCTATTCGGCCATGTGGTTTCTCTACCTGTTTCCATCTTGCCGTCCAATGCAGCAGGACCATCTAGGACCAAGCTCTTGATCTGCAGAAACTCATCAGGTTCATCCCCTCCAACAACTGTGAAGCCAAAGCCACGGCTGCTCTTCCGCAGCTTTGTGTGAATGAACTTGCCTTTCAACTCTGAAGGGTTTCGTGTAAAAAAGGGTTTGCCTAGATTAAAATAAGAGAAGTATAAAGAAAGTCATGAGAAGTGAAATGGTGAACTATATATGAGATGATACAACTTACAGATAATTCTCCAAGCTCTTGTGCTGGGGCATTTGGGTACATAAGTGTCTAAGAGAGCCCTCCCTTGATTTCCGTAATTGGGGTGATTCTTGGTCCCTTTGTTTAGGGAGGGGCACATGGAACTAGTAGACTGTCAGCATGGAGATCCAAAAGGAAATATAAGACTCAAACTGATGTCCATCCTCTGATACCCGCCCATGGTTTCAGTTCATGTGGTGTGACAGTAATGGAGCTGCCACAGGGCCCTTCACAGAAACAGTGGGCCTTTGCTTTGTGTCTTTTGTGTTGTTATCGTTTATACTTTGCAATACAGCTTCTAATGTATTGCTTTGAGGTTGGCTCCCATTTGTAAAACCAAATCAGCAAAATGTTTAGCTTTTAATTAAACAGAAAACTCTTTCTGAAAAAAAAAACATAGATAATACTAAGAATCATATTATGGTCACAAAGAATAATTTTCTAAAAATGTATGATCACTACTTGCAAAATGAAAAAAGTCATAATTCTACTTTGATTTAAATTCTAAATTCAACTGATTTCTCCGTTAATTTGCAACTTTTAACAATCTGTTAAGTAGTCTAGATATGTCCACTGCTAAAATTTATTGTTTGAAAAAAATTTAGGGATCTAGAGGTAGCTCAGTGGTATAGTGCATGCTTTGCCATGTGTGAGGCCCCAAGTTCAAACTCACGCATCAAAAAACAAATAAATAAAAAAATAAAAGAAGTTTAGAAAAGTGGTTTGGAATATTTTAAAAAACAAAACAAAATAAAAACCTAAACTAAGTGAAATACTAACAAGAGTCATATAACTCCAAATTCAGTTGTTTTATTTAAAATAAATTGATAGATATATATAGCTAAATAACTTCCAAACATGCCGCCTAAGGTTTTATTACATTTTCTTGATAACATTCATAAAAAACATGTTATATAGAAACCAACAGTTTTGCATTTTGTTATTTGGGCATTTCACTGTAATTTAGAAACTTACTGGAATTTCTCCGGTTATCCCAAAAGCTCAGCCTTTCAATTCTTCTAATTATATACTTCCTGTCTCATCCTTCCCACAGTTTCCCTATGTGCCCTGTGTTTTTCCTATCAAAAATGTTATTTAAAAAAAAAAAGGAGAAAAAGTCTCCAAAACCCTTGCTCCAGAGCCTGGCACCGAGGAAAGTTATTTTTGATTAGCTTTAACTAAAAGGCCTTTTAAAAAATGTCTCTGGGAACACTTATCACTTCTCAAAAGCTTTGCATATTTCAAAAGCTTCTGGCTCTTAAATAGGAGTCACAGGTCTGCTTCTCAAGCTCCTTCTCTCTGGGGATGTGCCAAGGCTGGTGGAAGCTTGACAGGCCCCATCACCATGGCTGAAGGAAGCAAAGACACAGCAGGTTCCCCATGTAAGGTTGTCTGCCAAGGCACCAGGAGGCCATGTAAACTGCAGCCAGGGCTTGTGGGGCAACAGCTGCCATGGCAATCATCTACTGAGGACAAGTGAGATGACTCCCCAAAATTACTTTGGGGTGTGTGTGAATGGGCTGTGTGGGGACTTACAGGGAACACTGCCAAGACACTAGTAGCTGTCACTTCAGTGACACGTTCTCGACCACCTTATGAAAAATTGCAACACCTCCTCCAACATTCCCAGTCCCCTTTTCTGCTTCATTGCTGTCCTTAGCATTTATTGCCACCCAACACAGTCTTATGTCTCACGTACTGGTTTGGCATTTTGGCTCACTGTCCCTGCCCCATGTATGGGGGCAGCACATGTGCACACACACACAGGACCACTAGATATAAACTCTGTGCTTTTATGGATCTCTGCTTTTATGTCCAGTGTGCAGAATACTGTCCCTTTCATTTTACGTGCTCCAAAACCATGTGCTGAATGAATGAATGAACAGCAGCGCAAAGAAATGAGATTTAACGTGTCTTTGAGAAGGCTGGAAGAGGTGGGTGCATGTTTAAGCTTTCCACCCTTATAACAGGCGAAGTTAGAAAAGGTAAAAATGTACCTGGCAGTTTATCTGAATGAATTTTTAAAGGGCATTAGCATATTTTGAGCTTAGTATGTTTTAAAGTTATTACAGTCATGAGCAGAAGTTTGAAGTTGACCACTGACCTCCTTTTCAAGGCTTAACAAGGAAGGGAAGATCAGAGGGTTTCACACCTATGCATATTATATTCTGTTTTATGTATGGGAGAGTCATCAGTTAATGAAGCTTGGGAAAAGCAATGTCTTTCTACCCACAAGCAGTGAATTTGGAGCTCTCTCTGCTGTAGCCCTGTGGTACATGTGATTTTCTGGGAGGTCCTGGTTAGCTGCCAGTTGTAATATCCGGTTATGGGAGAGAATCTCACTGTGTAGCCCTTTATTAAATGTACTCATTTTTAGGGCTTGCCGCAGACTCACTGAATCAGAATCCTCTGCATCTTGGTCCTCAAATCTGCTTTTGAATAACCCTTAGGTGCCTGCTTCCCTGTCAGGTTGGTAACATTCTTGACACTACTGTGTAAAGGCCCTGGACCACCACTGTCCAGTACAGCTTCCATGGTGCAGTTAACTGTTGAAAGACCAGGCTCAGCATGGAGACGCATAGCAGAAGGGCTGGAAGAATCTGCATGGTCCCCAGGGAGAGTGCAGTGAGTGTATCCCAAACCCCAAACCCAAGTGGGAATGAAGAGAGTCAAAGAAGAAAAGAAAGAAAAAAAGGTCTAGAAAAAAAGAAGGAATCTGAGATGAAGCTCCTAACACAAATAAGTAATTTGGCCCCTTACCTCATCGGTGCACTAAATTTTTGGCACCCAGATTTGAACCTTTAAAGCTTTAATTTATTTAAACATCTAAGACAATTCTTTAAGGAAGCTGGGCTGCTTAGTATGTATGTATGTATGTATGTATGTATGTATGTATGTATGTGTGTGTATGTGTGTGTGTATGTATACCTACAATGAGTTGATGTCAAAGGAACTCTGCCTAGTTTGGAATACCCTACAGTGAAATAAACAGTCTCCTGCTCTGTGGAATTTAAAGTCTAAAGAGGGAACTATTGTCAAATAGCTGAACACAAATAAACAATTATAAACTGTTAAATTCTATAAATGAGAATAAAATGGGAAGACTGAATATAACAGGAGACTCTAGCAGTAAGCTAAAATGGGTAGAAGTTAGTAAACACAAGCAGGAAAAGACAGCTGCAGAGGAAACAGCACATGCAAAGGCTCTGACATTGTTTAAGTTTTGCTGGTTTGAGGAAATGAAGAGAGGTTCCAGGAACTGAAGAGGTAGTGCAGCTAACTTACCAGGAGAGGGGGAAATAAGACAACATGAGGCTGCTGAAGAAGTTCTATATTTAAAAAATATGAAGAAGGCCACAATCATGTTGATATTAATTAATATGTTATTACCTACTATGTGATATCTTTATTAAAACCACTATCATCATAAAAAAGTACAGCCAAGCCAGAAGAAATTCTTTTACATAAGTTGATATTAATACCAATCTCATGACAACATCAGCTAGCAGGGAAACAATTTCTTTCTTATGATAATTATAATGGAGAAATCAAAATTAAGAGAAAAGAATTATTCTACTTATGTATATCTCTTTAAAAATGGAGAACACATTTTATAGTCTTTTTAACAGTTTTGTACTACAAACATTCCTCAACTCTATCAAATATGATGCTTATTCTATTTTTCTTAATTAAAAGAAAAAAATTAACAAATCTGAGAACCTTTTCTGTCATTGAAGATTAATGAGGCCTGAAAGTAGCAAGATTGGGAGCTTTCAATTTTCAAAAATGAGCCTCTCTAGGGGATCAAACTTTTTGTGAATACAGAAAAGTAAGCTGCCATGAAATGCTGTAAAATGTGTACAAATGCCAAAACTGCAGCAAGAATCAGAGATGAGAATGTAAAACAACATCAAACCATTTTATATGTACAGAAAAATTCTGGTTAAAAGCAAGTATGTTGCCTGGAATCTCGAAACATCTAATGCTTAGTTTTCAATTTACCTTATTTAACAAAATTGTTAGTGTCTGTAGTCTCTAAATCAATGGTTCACCACTCTGCATGACGTCATTGAGACACTTCTGATTGTTACAATGTGGGGAGAGTGGTCCCGGTGCCTAGTGGGTGAGACCCCCTATACTGCTAACCATCCTACAGGACAGCCCCAGCATTGCCTTATCTGGCTCTAAATGTCAACTGTACTGAGGTTGAGAAAGCCTGGCTTAATTGATCCTTAATGACAAGTAGTCATTAATTTTAGAGCATTACAAATAACTGGAGAAATTCATAGAGAAAACTTTCTAATCTTTTTTGACAATTGTGATTAATGATATATTTTGAATTTCAATCATTATGGTTTTTACTATCAAAAGAATGAGTTGGGAGTAACAAGATTCCATTCCTTAAAGTACCTTTAAAAACCAGGTTTTTGAGCTGAAACAATAATGTGATTATAAAAACCCTTTACCCTGAAGTGGAGCTTCTCTGGCAGGCTCCGGATTGCTTGTGGGGTGGTTGGGAATAACAGGAGGCACGAGCGATGAATGGTCTTCTGTCCATTCTGCAACACAGGGAATAAATAGCTCACTTAGGATTCACCTTTTTCTTCATTATAAAACTGCCGAAACCAATAAAACCAGGGGCCAATAACTTTTTTTTTTAAAAAAGGTATTCAATTCTACTCTATGTTAAGAATTTCAAGATTCTCTTTGTCCCTTTTTTTCCTAAGACCTTGTGGATAGAAATATTGTGATATAATCAATAAATCTCTAGTTCTCTCTGGCTGGAGATTCCAAAGTGAAACCAAATCAGAAACATCTGAAAAGATCCAGTCAACTAAAGTCAGCCCAGTAAGGAAGACACTTCTGTAGCGCAGTTGAGACATGAGCTTGGCTGCTAAGACAGCCGAGGAAGTGATGGTGAATTTCCTAAGGTGCTATCTCCTATCATCTCTGAACTCCAAACTGGTCCCTCACTATAGTCCCATTCCCCTTGGAGACCCAGAAATAACTCAGTGAGTGACCCCTGATGTTTACCCTAAAGTTCCTTTACAGCTCAGCTCACACATTCAACGGAACACCCCCATTCCCCAAACTCCACTAACACTACCAAGTTTTACCAGCTGAGGAAAAACATTAAAAAACATTTTTTAAAAAACAGAAAAGAAACTGAGGTAGAAAGAACTTTTCAATAGGTGAGCACTCTCTTTTTCTCTCTCTAAAAAATAGTCTATAGCAGTGGTTAGCAAATTATAGCCGAAGGACCAAACTGGGCCTAATGCCTGATTTTATACAACTTGTGAGTCAAAAATGGCTTTTTTGGTTGAAAATAGAAAGAAGAATATTTCATAACACATGAACATTAAATGCAGTCTAAGTTTCAATGTCCATATATCAGGTAGCACTGGAACACAGGCAGGCTCACTTGTAGACACACCGTCTGCAGAGCTGTTCCCACCCAGCTCCAGACAGCATTGGCAGCCATAAAGAGACTGTATGAACAGAGGCAACAAAATTTACTGCATGCTCCTTTGCAGAAAAAGTAAGCTCATTTCCACTCTATGATCTATTTTTATTATATGCAGTATTATAAAGAGAAAAGTATTATATTTGACATTCATGTGTTATACTGAGGGTACACTAGGCCTATTGTTTTGAAAGAGTGAAATAAAAACTGGGAAAGGCCTAAGCATCTATTGATAAACAGATGGCTAAATGAAGTGGTGACATTTATAAAACAGACTATAATGTAGCCATTAAAAATTGTGAGATAAATCTATATTAACCAACTTTGAAACATGTGCAAGGAATATATTTAAGTGAAAAAAAAAAAAAGGTCACAAAACTTAAATATTGGGTTGGCCAAAATGTTCATTTAGGTTTTTCCATAAAAGATACTTTTTTCATTTTTACCAAAAACTTTATTGATTTGGATATTTTGAGCATGTTGGCTATCTCCCGCATGGTATAACATTGACTGTTCTCAATTAATGTCCTAATTTGATTGCCATCAACTTCAACTGGTCTACCCAACCATGGAGCATCATCCAGTGAGAAATCTCCCAGCACGAAACTACGCAAGTCACTTTTGACACGTTCAATCAGTCACAGGTCCTTCTCTATATACTGTTCAAATCCATTTTTGTATTTCAGTTGTGTTTTTACACTCCTTGAAATAATAAAGCATAATATGCTGAAAATGTTATGTATCTTTTTGTAAATGCACGCTTATATGACAGCTGTCACAATGGAGTCTAACAAAATTGTTTTGAATGAAGTTAAAGACAAGTTAGTGCTACTAGAGCCATCTTACAGAAAAACAAAAAACCTTGACAATCTTTTTGGCCGACCCACTGGATACACATATAAAATATGATCTTATTTTTTGTTAAAACATGTATATTTGTATATCTCTAGAAAATTTCTGTGCAGTTTTTATCTCTGAGAATGAGTTAGGAGCAAGTACGGGAAATTTTAATATTCTACACTCCTGAATTGTTCATATTTTTACAGAAAGCATGAATTACCTTGTAGTTTTTTAAAAGCTGGTAAATCATCAGCTTTTTGTGATACTTGCATGTAATCTCGTTAAAAACAAAAGTCAGTTTCATACCTGGTAACTTCCCCTGAGGTGTTAAAAGTGGTTTAGACTTGAACACCAGTTGCTATGCAAAGGCTGCTGGGGGAAAAGATTCTTTCGCCATCAGAAAGTTCTCCAATCTAAATTAAAGGTCCTTTCTAAATTAAAGTGGAGATTTTGGTGCCTGTGAACGGGGTCCCCCACTTCAGCTATCTGGGGTCTAGGGCAGGGACTCTGGCAGCTCTGTATTCCCCCCAGCAGGACATCAAGTCCTCAGGGCAGCAGGAGGACTTGACCACACAGGCCAGCTCTGACCACACGGGGGTGTCAGTGCCAAGGCTTCGCCCTGTACTCCTCGGCCCACAGATAAGGAGAGAGCCAACCTTCTGATGGCTGCGGCTGCTGCTGCTGTGGCTGCTGCCCAAGCTGCTTCTTCCGCTTGGCTTCTAGGACTGGGTTCTCATATTGTGTCTTCCTGTTGATGTGGCTGGAGCAGAAGGCAGATAGTACCTATTTAGAAAACATTTCATCCCACAAGCAAAATGCCAATCAGGCCAACTCCCATGATTAGTGCCTGAGCAAAGCAGGTGGTTTGAGATGGTGACCACCTTGTGTCAAATGTGCAGCTAGGTAAAGGAAAAAACAATGATTTCCAATACTGACTGCTTATATGTGCCAAACACTATGTTGTAAGATTTATGCACATTTTATTTTAAAATCTTCAATCAATTCAAAGAGTTAGGTCCTATTATTATTATTTATGTTTTATGGATTAAAATAAGTAAATTTCTGAGCAGTTAAGTAATACCTCACCTAACGTAACATAGTTAGTAAATAGTAAAGAGGCAGGAAACTCAGATCTGCCTGCTTTCAAATCCCAGAACTCCCAAATTTCCAAGGAATCACCTGATGGGGTAAGCTGCTTTAATTCAACAAGAAATACATTATAGAATTATTCAAAAATGAGATTAAAACAGTGACGTGAGGATTCGGTAACATACAATGCCAGAACTGCCATCTAACTTTCTATGACAGAATTCATGGATGCATATGCACTCACCCAAACAATAAAGCTCAAAGAAGTACTCTACAACATCTGTCAACTATTCTGATCAATAGACACGGGGTCAGGATTAAAAGTATAAGCCTTAGGCAAAAAGACTCCAGATGTAACTAACCTAACTGTGATGTGTGCAAAGTCACAAAGACCCACATACTTCAGATGGTCCTAAAACTAATAAGGCCATGGCAAAACACACACACACAATATGAATACACAGATGGTTTTTTGACATGACCATTTTAGTGTATATATATGTACATACACACATTATATAAATACACATAAGCATAACATATTTCTGTTTTTCTTCATCAAAATCATACTTCACTAGAAATTTGGGAACATAACAATTATATGATTATTTAGGATCTAATAAGGTGGATAGACTACCCTTAATTCCTACTGTAGGACTTCTTGTTTCTTTCCTAATTCTTGTGGGCGATTTCATGCTAAGATATACTCTAACATTAACAAAGCATTAAATCTGAAAAGATGCAGGGAGGCAAAGTGTATAGTAGGAAAACAACTTGCTGCTTAAACCAAATCTCTTCATCAAAGCTGTTACCTGCTCCTTTTCTGTTAATACACAGCTAAGGGAGCACTCAAAAGGAGCCCCAAACAGGCAAGAACCTCACTGTACATGTGCAAGAAAGATGATGTGCTGAGCACACAAAGGGATTTTCATTTACGAAGGTCAGAAAAATGACTAAGCTTGCCTTTCTGATGCCCCAAATCACAATCTTCCCTGTTAGGAAAATAGGGGGCAACATGAGTAAAGGCCAAGGGGACTTGCTATACTGAACTCATAATTTTTACAATAAGATGCTAAGCATTTTATGACCCAGTGTTTTTATATCTTATGTTCTTATCTCCAGGATATTACCCAAATGGCTTTTCATTGCCAGCAGCATGTGGGACAGAAAGCTTGTCAGTTATTTCATTGTGGCAGGTAGAATTATGATGACAGGACATTTATATGGCATTTGTTTCTTTCAAAGGATCCTTTATTAGTTATTTCTCACGTTCCTCAGAGGAAATGATATAAAGCATATTTTTTCAATGTTTAATCACTTGGGTTTCTTTTATTTTCATTGGTGTCATCCTGCTCACTGATAGGATGGAGGAAGACAAAGTCTGGAGCTGGTGCTAGAATAAGGTGCACAGTATAGAGGTCATAATGAGGGCTTGAGGTTCTTAAAAATGGCATAGGAACCATGCGTATGGTCCTCAGGCACAGGAGAGACAAAGAGGCATACAATCTTGCAGGTTAGGCTAGTTCTCAATTTCCTTCTTTATCCTGGCAAAATTTCATACATTATTAAGATTTGTCTGACCCAATAAAGTCTGAATGAATAAATAAGTAATTCTGAGAAGCTCAGGCTTCGGCAGAGCAAAATGTAGGCAATCAGGTCCTCCTCCTGAAATAGTCCCTACTCACTTGGTCTGTTAAATTTTTGCTTTTCTCATTCATTCATCCATTCAACTAATACTTACTAAGCACCTGCCACATACCAGGTTTATGTTGGGCCTCAATAATGCAGTGGAAAACAAAAGATACAGCTATGACCCTCATAAATTGTGTAATATAATTTGCTACCTTCAGATTCATTGAATAGTTTCTCATTCATTAAAATAGACATATTTTCATTATGAAGTTATATTATCATTATTTCCTTCATATTTTATAATGATAGCAAATTGTTAACAGCATAAACATACATAATAACAGAGGGCACAAACTAAAGTGTGGATCAAGGGACACTCACTCTACATAGTAGATACCATAGACAGGGTCTTCAATCTTTTCCCAACCAGCAGGCAGTTCTGAAAAATAAAAGAATATTCAGAGTAAGAAGAGCATATTCTCAAAGAGCCTTGGGATTTTCAACAAGTTAGGCAAAAGAAGAAACTCATACAAGTATTTTAAATACAATAAAAACTGTGTATCCTAAAAGCAAAGCAACCATTGTTTTTATTTTATCAATGTATTTTTTTCTGCATGAAGAACAATTATTTACTTATATTTTGCTCAAGCAAATGAAACTTAATAATATGTAGTCCCAGGTGCCTTCATTCTAAGTCAATTATTAAATTAGATTTTAATAAAAATAGAGTTAAAATTTGCCTTGAATGCCTAGTTGCTATTTTAAATATTTATAGTTTTCTCATTTTATTTTTAGACTATGTTAACACAAAAGCAAAACTGGATAAAAATTAGTTTCTTTTCATGTTCAATAGAATAGTGCTGTTTTTCTCTTCCTGCAATAAAATAAAATTTACATCTGATTTTCTCTTATTCCCAATTACAATGCTACTGAGTAAGTAAAAGTGTCCACATTGCACTGGGTTTTTGAACTGCACACACCCATCACTCAGATCGTTCAGATCCGGTAGGTCTATCTTTACCAGCGGTTTGCCTACAAAAGCAGAAACACAGGTCCTGCTCTCCAAGAACTCGCTAGATTTTATTTCCTTTAAATATGGTGGTAAATAGTATTGGCACATACACATGCCTTTCTGTAAACTCAACTGTGCTCTACTAGACTTCACTTTGTAAGGTTTCATGTGAAAGGTTGGCCCTTGATTAACTAGCTAACAGTGAGTTCTGTCACAAGAATCTATTGTGAAAAGGCCCTCTGCAGTAGATAATCTGACTTGGTGAAAGAAGCAACCAGGCTGTTGTTTTGAGTCATTAAGCAATTCTTTCAGGCAGAGAATAATTACTCAACTTAATTTAAAAGCCACCCAGATACATACATAGATACATAGTTAAGGCAAGCTTGTATAAAACAGTGCTCCAAAGTCAATCACTGGTCCCAAAAGTAGACATTAAGACCAGCTTGAATGGAATATTACAAACTCTTGAAATATGACTTATTTTGAAAAACTAGATTTTTTTTAAATTCAAGGAATCATTTGATCACTATTTTCAAACAGTGACTGTTCCACCAGGGCTTACATGTCACAAACAGTTCCATACTGAAATAGGGTCCTGCACGTCACCCAAACACACAGGCTAATTGCTTAAAACTTATGTTTTGCTCAAATTTGGTTGTACATCAAGACACATTAATTTCAGGGTTTTTGCTCCGTGTTATATATTTGCAAACAAAGAGATACAGTTTTCCTCCTTTTTTCTAAATAAAAAAAAAACCCTGATTTTAAAGATGTCCTTGAATTCTGGGAGATGTAAGCTACTAAAAACGCAAAGAAAAGTCCAATTTGCAGATGTTGATAAAACTTTGCGTTTTTATACACAGTCTTGTGGACTAATGCAGATCAAATGCTGGGAAAATAGTTTCCCCTTAAAAAGCTGGAAATTGTCATTTAAATTAAAATGAACCAGGAAAATATTTCCAAACGTTAGGAAATTGTATATTAAAAAAGTGCAAGTTGGTGCACAGTCATACCCTTGTTGTGGCATGGGGCAAAAGGATGGGTGAGTGTGAGGGTCCACATTCTGCATAATGAGCCAAATCTCTTCTCAAAATCTGCAACCTTAAATATTTGGTTCTATTATCTCTAGATGAAATAGGGAAAATGGTAAAAATTCAGTTCATTCCATTATTAGTTGTTAAACATTTGTTGAGTGCCTACTGTCTACCTCAGAGTGTGAGAGGCACGAGGACACAAAGACAATCACAAGTGTGCCATCTGAGCAGGCGGCTCACACACCGCATGCCGAGCACCTGGTGGAGGTCCAAGAGGGCACAAGGAAAGGGGCCACTTCTGACTTTGTCCTGTCACCCAGTCAACAAAGAGAATGAGGCTAGTCAACGAGGGTTTCTGGATTCTTGTAAATTTAAACACATCTTCTGGGACAGATTAGCAAATGCAAAATTTTTTCAGTTTTTCAATTAAACTTCATTTATAATTTAAAAGGTCGATTTTGATTTCTCACTCCCAAAATGTCAATTAATTTAATCATAGGAATTAGTCCTCTACTGCTTAAAACAGAAATGTTTGTTCTTTAATTTGCCACTTGGTTCTAAAAAACTGAAAATAGAAAGTATTAAAGCTTAGAAAAAGATGACATTACTTTTTTTACTAAACACTCTCAAGATCCCCAAAGAGCCACACTGCCCTCCCCACCTTGTTTAACAACTGCTGGACATCAGGCCAGGCTGCACAGCCTGTCACAGACGCCGGGCAGCCAGGCCCGCGGGGTTGCCCAGGTCTGAGATGAACCTTAGCTCCACCATCTCACAAATCTGGAGTTGGGCTACTTAACATCTTGTAAGCAGGCCTTCCTCTTGGATTTACCACAAAGGTCGACTGCAGATGACATGGGGATGTCTGTAAAACATTTTGCACAGCACCTTGCTGGCACATAGGCTCAGACAACTGGTCTGGGAAAGCAGACAAGGACCTGGACAGATCTGTATTGTGCTATTCATCACCACAAAAGCAAATATGGAGCAGTCAAATGTTCTAAGTTCTTTTCAAAAGGGATTTGTCAGCATACAGATTGAAAGTCTTGTTCATACTCAGAGATAAACTTCAAAACTGTGACTTAGTTTTGGTTGGGAAGAGACTTCATTTCCTCCTCTTAACCTCTCCTAGTTGGTTTCAGCATAAGAATACCCTATAATTCCAAAAGAAGGTTTGCATATGCCTTTCAATTCTAGGGAGATATTATCACAGAAGACCTCATAAATTCTGTAAACCAAAAGTGCATAATGGAGCTCCTGACCCTGATCAAACAACAGAGTTAAGAAATGACAACTCTATAATCAAATGATCTTTGTCCAACACCCTGCCTCTAAGAGGCAGACTGTATAGAGGGTTTCCTTTTCACACCTGGAATTGCATTTTCCCCTGAAAACCTGAGAGTTGCCTTGTTTAAGATTAGGATCCTCTTATTACAAAAATGGATAATGAGCTTATTACCAGATTCTGGAGTGAATGCAAAAGAAATGTGTGTGTGTGTGTGGTGTACACCACTCTTTACGGTGGACATGTAAAAATCAGAGTAGAAAATCCTATTTCTACTTTACCTACGAGGTCACATCTGGGACATTGCTACAGTATATACATTCCTCTCCTGTCCCACATTAAAGGCAAAAAGTACCATAAGGTAGTATTGAAAAGTCCAACAAGAGGGAGTTCAGTAATAAATAATAAAATTGAGGGATATAAAAGGGCTAAATAGTAATGGGAAAAGTACAATTAAAATAGATAATAAAACTGGTAAAAACAATATGAGCTGATCACAGGGACAAATATTAAAACATATCTATCAAGTCTCCTCAACAAGCACCAAGGAAGCTCCTCTTTTAGCTTCTCAACAGATAAGGAAAGGGAAGCTAAGAGAAGGTAAATGAGTTGCCCAAGGTCATAAAGCCAGTGAGGGGAGATCTGAGGCCAGGCAACCTTAAAAAGATAGTCCTCTGTTTCCAAACCACCACCCAGAACTGCGGCCATAATGGATACTATGCAGCCACTAAAACTTATTTGTTAAGAGTCCTTAAGATTATAGGAAAATTCTGACAATGTTATAGTTACTTGGGAAAAAAGAAAACAGACACATCTTTCCTAAAGAGGCAAGACACCTCTTTTAACATTCAAACTTGCACAGAAGCAAATTAAAGTGTGCTGGGTACTGGGCTGTACTGTCTCCACCAGCCATGCACAGACAGCAGTGGTCACTCATATATATTAGGCGGCAGCAAGAGTGGTTCCAACTGGTTCAACAAGTGATTAACACACTCATTTTATGTCTGGAAAACCTCTTTCTTTCTTTTTCAATTACTTTATCTAATATCACTGGACTGAAAATTTTTAAAAAATAAAGTTAGTTTCAAATTGTTCTATTACATAGGTTGAACCTCAAGTCATTCCTACTTTAGTGACCCCAATGACAACTTATTAATCATGTTTAAAAATAGATCTATCAATGGTTATCAACCATCACTGGCATATCTACCAATTACCATAGGATATGTTCCAAACATGAAGAAAAGCAGAGCTAAATTCTAGTATATCATAACTCTAGTCAACCATGATTATCTTCATCTATATAACAAAATTCAATAAAAATAATAATCTCTATTAAATATTATTTTCAGTTAAGGCAATCTTGAAAATGCTAGGCTGATTCAATGATCTCACTATAGTTCCATTCATAGTGATGTCAAATAATTTTCTATTTTAAAAATATACTATGGTCAATTTTTAATCAGCCAAGGCTTTCTTGTATAGTTTAGCCACAATCTGAGCTTTCTCACCTATCCTTCTGGGTAGGAATCAGATGGAATGCAAACTGATACTAACATTGTTCAAAGCTGAACTCTAAACAGCTAACTTAGGGAATAGCAGATATATTCAATATATTCCAACAGCAGAGATAAAAAAACAGTTTGGCATTTTCTGCTAATGTAAATTACTTCCAAACTACAATAGCTAGGGTAATAAAGACCTGATTTACATAGATACATACACTCTAAGGGAAATGGTATACACAAACAAATACAGCATCTGGTTTTCAAGCCATTCGCTACAGTTACAAACATGTGGCAAATAAATTAAAAACAACATAATACTGAAAATATTAACTATTCAGTGAAGAATCACTAAAGTTACTGTATTACTGTCACTCCTATAATGAGCCTTGGATTAGTCTGATAGGTTTTTGCTTGTTTTGCTTTGCTTTTTTTGTATTACCTATGTATAATAACTACCCACACCAAACAAATAACAAAACGAGGCTGAGATAGGTTATATGAGAGAGTTCAAGGGACAAGGCAAGGATCTATCCCCTCAGTTTTTTCTTAATCCTCAATTTACAAGAATACCTAGTAACCATTTGCTAACTCTCACTGTACTCTCAATTCACTCAGACTTTTCCTTTGCAGACGTAATTTACTACAACCCTGTATGATGTCTGCAGTTAGGCACCTGTTGTAAGATTGACCTTTTGTGGATAAACTGGCATGAAAATCACAATTGGAGAAGTGTAAACTAAAGAAACTGAGAGGTTAAGCAATTCACTGGAGACAAACCCATTCAGGACAAGTCATGCAACAGCAGCAGGCTGGAGGGTTTACCTAGTTCACTGTCCAGCTCCTCGGTGTGGACCCCTTCTTCTCCAAAGGAATAGCAGGAATGAGACAGAAAAGAGAGAAAGAAAATTTCAGACACCAGCACCAAGAAGGAAACTCCTCTCAGAAAAACAGCAGCAAACACGTCACTTGATTTTGTCCTTACCTGTATTGTGGCTTATTTCATTGGCTTGGCTAACAAACTCAAGACCTCAGTGTGAATCATAAAATGGTAGGAGCTGGGTGGTATCGGCAACATAATTATATGGCTCATTTCCTTGCATATCAAAATAGGGTTTGATTGGTAGTAAAAGATGATAAGTACCTTTACAGTTTCAATGTTCTTAAGCATTGTTCTTAAGCAAAAAGCCACTCATTACAGGCCTTATTTCAAGCAAACAAAGCTATTATAGCTTTCAATAACAGTCCTTTTAATACTTCAATAATCCTCTAATCATCAAGGTAATTACACTCACAATTAAAGCTTTGCTTATCTTATAAGTGATACTGCTGCTTGAACAATGAGTGGTGAGGTCAAATTGAGAATGCAGATTGTAAAATGAGGTATACTTGAAGATCTTTTAAATGGGGTTAGAAAGATGAATTATGTCATGATGATGTACATTAGGGAAGCAAAGCTTGAAGGCTACCCTGAAGGAGGCAGTTTACTTTATATTAAGACAAACAGCTCAGAAATATTAGAATGAAAATGTTCTCAGTAATTTCAGTGAGTAAAACAAGTCAAGATCCTTTCCATTCTAGACCCCCTCTTGCTGTCAGTAAAACATTTTATTGCCCATGGGGAGAACACAGGCCTGCACACACAAATCATTTCATACACCAAGTCTATGCAGCTACAGAGTGGCAGCTTTCCCTTCCACAGTAAGCCCCACAAAACCAGGGAGCGAGCCTGTTTTCAGTAAAGCAATTGGCTCATGCCCAGTGTAGTTTTGGTACATGATAGGAACAAAACATTTCTTGAATCGATGAAACAAATGAATCGATTATTGACTTATAACCAGCATGGCCCTAAACACCTTATACACTTTTTAAAGACTATACAATTGTAAACAGTAAGTTCTGATGCTGGCATTATATCTCAACAAAGAGGGAATATGATTTACATAAAATCTTTCATGAAAATGCTCATTTAGATACTATTTAATAATGTCTTTGGGGGCATTCATTTCATTTCGTCAATAATTACTTAGTGAGACCAACCATGTGCCAGTCACTATGCCAGGTGACAGAGATATCGAAATGAGCAGTCACAGCTCTATCATCCTGGAGGAGGAGATAAGTCCAGAGCTCACGCAGATAAAAATTAAGTTAAAACTGGGATAAGTTCTCTAGAATAAGACATATAAAAGAGCGACCTAGTCACATCTGGGGGCAAGGTCATAAGAACAGTTCTTGAGCTGTAATTTGAAGGATGGGCAAAATTTAACAAGAAGACGTAGACTGAAAAATGACTAGAATTTAAGCCCTCCAAGAGCAGGACTTTTTGTTTATGGTGTTCATTCACACATCTGACGTTCCCAGAACACATGACATGTAGAAGACACTCAATATACAGGTGTGGGATTTAAGAGTATTTTGAGGAGAGAGACCTGCACATCTAACTGGCATGCAGCATGTTATCCACAGAGAGTAGAAAGAGACACAGAAACAGTACTATGACCAGCAATGTTATTCTTCTTTGTATCATGGTATAAACAATAATATAAGGCAGCTTTGTGTTAATCGGCAACAGAAAATGCAGGTATGGGAGCCTATACTTGTCACAGTGGTATAATCTGGTTATATATTTATACTGTTTTGTATAAAGGCACATGGACATACATATCATTTCTACTAGAAACAGAATATGGGGATTATAACATTGAAGGGATAATTACTAAAGTAAGTATGCTGGTATGAATACATACTTGTTTCAAAGGAAATAACATTTACAGCAACAGTAAGAAACGTAAGAATTAAAACTTACTAGATTTGGTAACAAAACCACTGGGTAATTCTACTCAATACTTTCAATACATACAAAAGTGCATTAACACTTTTTCCTCAGTAAAAACTATTGGAGTTTTCTACAACCTATAAAATTATACTAACAGGTATTTTCATATATTCCCATACTATAGTGGACATTGACAGTGGGGGTAGAGTGACAGCTCAGCCTATGTCTTGGAAAAATACACTTTTCATGTACTTAGGATACACTCAAAGTTACAGGGGTTCCCAAACAAGTCAGCATCTGCTTTCCCTACCAGGGGTGTCCAATCTGCAGTCTGCAGGCTGCAGGCTGCATTCGGTTCAGGGTGGCTATGAATGCATCCCAATACAAAGTTGTAAATTTACTTGAAACACTGAGATTTTTTTGTGACTATGTGTCACAATGTATTTAATGTGTAATGGCCCAAGACAAATCTTTTTCCAGTGTGGCCCAGAGAATCCAAAAGGTTGTACATACCTGCTACACCAAGACTGGGAAAATAAGAGTTATAAAATGTGGACAGTTTAAGAAAAGCTGATATTCCCTCCCCTCTAGACTTTTGTAATAGAAGATTAGGGTTCAATAGGTAAGTCTTTATTCTTAGACTTTATAGAGTCTCCTCCAAGTCCCTGAAGGCGGAGAATATATCTTCATTTAAATAGTTTCTGACTGTGTAAAGTTCTGTTTCCAATGGAAATATGACTAATATGACTACATACCTGCCTCTTTGTGTAAACAAATTATTCTCTTAATATTTCTACTGATTTCCCTTTTGCTTTTGGAAACCTCAGTACATTACTAGAAATTGGATTACATTTTTTAGAAGAGATTTTATTATTTTTAGAGAGAGGGGAAGGGAAGGAGAAAGAGGGAGAGAAACATCAATGTGTGGTTGCCTCTCCCATGCCCCCTACCTGGGGACCTGGCCTGCAACCCAGGCACATGCCCTGACTGGGAATCGAACCGGTGACCCTTTGGTTTGCAGGCCCACACTAAATACACTGAGCCACAATAGCCAGGGCTGGATTACCTTTTAAAAACTCATTGTTAAAACTGGGTTGACCTTACTACAACTCTAAAATATGCATGTGTGAACAAATGGCCAATGAATTTAAACTGAGACCTTCTGAGCCCCTTACCATCATCTTCACACTCTTCCAGGGGCTTCTGCTGCTTGTTCAGGCACCGAGGGTCTAACCATGATGTTGTTTTTGTGTTATGACTGAAATCCAGAAACAAAAACAAGAATATGTTTGAAAAGGAAAAGCAAAGAGCTCAATGACAAACGACTTTTACACTCTTGAACATTTGCTCCTCAACCAATCAAAGATGCTTTCCCAACAAACGCAGACCAGAGGACAGCTCGAATTTGGAATAACACAGCTCAAGGACGACCTCTGGCAGGCTTTTTACTTATGCAAGATATAATCATTCCATTATTGCAAGCTAAAATTGTAACGCCAGTTTTGTTTTTAAAAAAAGAGTTCCAAATGACACACCTTGTCTATACTGTCCACCATTACCTAGTCTTATTTTAGTCTTCACATCTGCTGAAGAGCAAATTCCAATTTATTTTAAATTTTCTACGTCTTAAATCTTGAATGCTGGAATTCACAAGGAAAGCTGCTATTTCATTCATTCTACTATACAAGAATTCTCATGACATTGGGAACCCCCCACAATTCATACAAGTAGCTCGAAGCAGCTAACATATATCATTAATTTCAGTGTCTCAAGTTATGATTCAGATCTAGTAAAGGTGGCCCAAAATTACTTAAATAAAACCTGGGCCAAGAAAAACCTTCGAGAAGGTCAACATTATACCCAACTGCCTTCTGGAAGGTATAACTCTAGATGAAATGTTTGAACAGATACTGATATGGGCCTTGAAAGTCTGAAGTACACAAGAACATTTCAAAGAATGTTGGCCTCAATTGTCTTAGAAATGTCACGAGAACGACTGGCAGAATCGGCCTGAACAGGTCAATGTGGGGGTGGGGTGGGCAGCTCTGCCTGAGCGCCCAGTGCACTCTGTGCACACAAATGGGGAGGACAGAGGGCTGCCAGTCCAGGAGTTCATGCTGCAAACTGGAAATGAACATAAACTAAAAATAAATTTTTTGAAGTTTAGGCCGTAACCTAAAATTTTTTGAACTCTAAAGTTTAAGTTGTAATTATGTTTTTAAAAACTGCCACAATTTTTTTTTATCTTAGAATAATATCTTATTGAATATTGGCAAATAATTATTTCAGTGAAAAACAGAATGTAAAAATGTATGTAACACATCATCTCAACTGGGTTAAAAGAAAGGTGATATATAGTAACAACTATTGCCAGCAATACTACTTATTTGTCTAGCTACAACTACCAGAGTCTGTTCTTTCATGTTACAATTTATTTCTTTCAATAATCCTATGAGAAAAGTATTATTAATATTGAAATGATTACTCCCCATTTTTCAGATAAGAAAACTCAGAACACAGAAGTGAAGGAATTTGCCCAAGGACACTGCTGATGCAAGGATACCTGGGGATCAAGCCCAGACAATCTAGCATGAGAACCCATAGTTTGCACTATACCTGCACAGCAAGACAGTAAACATGGTCAGTGCCAGGAGGGAAGAGTGTGTATGATTAAAAAAAGAAAAAACACTTTTTTAAAATAATTTTGAGGTAACTGCTGATTCACATGCATTTACAGAAAAAAAACACACAACAGATATTCCCATATTGCCTTTTCTTCAGTTACACCATTGGTCACATCTTGCAAAACTATAGTACAATACAATGTCATATCCAGGAAACTGATATTTAGATAGTCAAGATGCAAAATATTTTCCATCATCTCAAGGATTCCTCATTCTACTCATACCCATACCTGGTGTCCTTCTAATTCTTCCTTGTAAAACCCATTTTAAAACAGTGTCAACCACTAATCTGTTTGCCAATCTGTAATTTTATCGTTTGGAAAATGTTATGTAAATGGAACCATACATTATATAATCATTTGGGGTTGGCATTTTGCACTCAGCATAATTCTCACTGAGGTGGTTGCATACAGGGGTTTGCAAAAGTAGGTTTACAGTTGTAAATATGTGAAACACAGAATTCATTCTTCTATTATTATTTATTAATTATTGTATTATTAATTTGTATTAAAATGTAATTCTACTTTTGCACACCTCTCTACATCAGCACTGCTTTTATTGTTGAGTAGCATTCAATGGCATGCATGGACCACAGTAACCACTAAAGGATATCTCAGTGTTTCCAGTTTTTGGTTTTGGGTTGGCAAAAAAGTTAATTGTTTTTTTCCATAAGATAGCTCTAGAAGTGCCTAGTTGTCTTTAACTTCATTTGAAACAATTTGTCAGATTGTAATGTGACAGCTGTCATAACAGCGTGCATTTACAAAAAAAACATAAAATTTGGTATATTTTTGTGTAGCCATTTTAATATTGAAGATGGAAGAAATATGCAACATTTTCAGCATATGATACTTTATTATTTCAGGAAAGATAAAAACGTAGTTGAAACACAAAGAAAAGATTTGTGTAGTGTATGGAGAAGGGGCTGTGACTGATTGAACGTATCAAAAGTGGTTTGCGGAGTTTTGTGCTGGAGATTTCTCACTGGACAATGCTCCACGGTCGGGTAGAGCAGTTGAAGTTGACAGTGATCAAATTGAGACATTAATTGAGAACAGTCAACGTCATACCATATGGGAGATAGCCAACATGCTCAAAATATCCAAATCAATTAAGTTATCGGTGAAAATAGAAATGTGTCCTTCATTTTACAGAAAAAAGTAAATAGACTTTTTGGCCAACCTGGTACTTGAAATAAATCTACTTAAATATTCATGCATGGGTTTTCGTGTGAATGAAAATAAATGTTCACTTCTCTGGCCAAATGTGCACCTGCTGGGCCATATTGTAGTTGCCTGTTTAGTCTTTTAAAAAACTGCCTGGCTGTTTTCTGGAATGCCATACAATTCTACATACCTACTAGCAATATATGAGTGATCTAGTCTTTGCATCTTTGCCATAATTTAGTGCTGTTACTTTTTTTAATTTTAGCTATTCTAATAGGCACATAATGATATCTTTGTAGTTTTAATTTGCATTTCCCTAATGGCTAATGATGTTGAACATTTTCTCAGGTACTTATTTGCCATCTGTATACCCACTTCAGTGAAAATTTATGTTCATGTCTTTAGCTTATTTTCTAATTGGATTTTTATTTTTTACACTGTTGAGAGTTCTTTATATATTCTAAATTGACACCAGTCAATCTTTAGATGTGGGGTTTGCAAATACTTTTCCCAGTCTATAGTTTGTCTCTTCATCCTCCTACCACAGTCTTTTCTTAAGCAAAAGTTTTCTCATTTTGATGAATCTGAATTTATCATTTATTCATTTTAGTTTTGTTTTTAATCAGTGACAGTATTGTAGATATCCCCTTTGTCCCCCCTACCATTTACTCCTTTAAGGGATAATGTGTATGATGTAAAACTAAGAATTCCTTGCCTATTCTCAGATCTCAATCTAGGAAAAATCTGTATATTTTGTTACAGTTTTCTATCTAAGTTTTATTGCTTTACATTTTATATTTAAATGTATGGTGATCTATTTTGAGGTTTTTGGGGGTTTTTTTTGTATAAGGTATGAGGTGGAGGTTGAGGTTAATTTACTTGTCTCTGGTTGTCCAAACACTTCAGCACCACTTTATTGAAAAGGCTATCTTACCCATATTAAATTGCTTTCTCATCTTTGTTAAAAATCAGCTGGACACATATGTGGGTCGGTTCCTGGGTTCCATTGATACATGTGTCTATCCATCAACACCACTTTCAGAAACACTTTGTTTGTATAGCTATATAATAAATCTATATCAGATAGACTGATAACTCCTGATTTATTCTTATATTTTCAAAATTGTTTCACTTATTGTAGTTCCTATGCCTTCTTATATAACTTTTAGGATAAACTTGTCTATACTAACAAAAATGTCACTGAGATTTTGGGAGGATGTGCAATAAATCTGCATACTCATTTGGGGAGAAATGACACCTTTACTGTACCAATCCTGAGTCTTTTGATCCATGAGTAGGGTATGTCTCTCCACTTATAAAGACTTTTAATCTCTTTCATCAGCATGTTGTAGATTACAACATACAAAATCTTGTATGTTTTGTTAGATTTAAACCAAAGTTTATAAAGTAAATATAAATATTTTATTTTGAGTTTTGTTGTCCATATATCCATCGCTAGTATATAAACATACAACTGATAGTTGTATACTTATGTTTTATCTTGTAATCTTGCCGAACTCACTTATTCTAGAAATTTTTGTACATTTCTTGTTATTTTCTACAACAATAATCTGCAAGGAGAAATAATTCTATTCCTTCCTTCTCAGTTGTATGTCTTTCATTTCCTCTTATTGATTTATTCTCCTGTCTACAATTCCAGCATGATATCGAATAAGGGCAATGAGAGCTAACTAATATCTTTGGCTTATTTCCAATCTTGCAGAAAAATATTTTCTTCTACCATGAAGTATAATGTTAGCATTAGATTTTTTTGTAGAGGTTCTTTATCAAGAAAATTACCCTTTATTCTTTTTTTCCTGAGAATTTTTATTGTGAATGAGTGCTGAATTTTGTCAAATGCTCCTATTGCATCAATAATTATGACATAATTTTTTTTCTTTAGTTTCTTAATATGGCAAATTACATTGATTACTTTTTCAAATATTGAACCAGTTTTGCATCCCTTAAATAATTCCCACCTGGTCAAGGTGTGTAAGTTTTTCTAAATTACTGAATACCATTTGCTTATATTTTATTACAGATTTTTGCATCTATTAATACATTCATGAAGATATTGCTCCATAGTTTTCTTTTTTTCTTGGACTTGTTTTTGGTAACAAGGTAATACTCACTTCCTAAACATTGGAAAGTATTCCTCCTCTTCTATTTTCCAGAAGAAAGTGTAGAAATTTAATCCTTTGAACGGTTCTCTAGTGAAACCATCTGGGCCTGGAGATTTCTTTTTCATGAGTTTTTAAATTAAAAAGTCATTTTCTTAATAGTTATAAGGCCTATTTATACTATCTATTCCCTACTGAATGAGTTGTGTTCATTCATGCTTCTCTAGGAAGTGGTCCATTTCGTCTAAGTTCTCAAATTTATGCATGCAGAATGCCGGCAGCATTTGC